GGAAACACAGCTGGGAATATTTGGTTTTAATTCGGCTTTTATCAGGGTTTATTCTTTTGTATTTTTGTATTGTGTATTTTTTGTATTTTGGGTATATTATTTGTTTTTAATATGCTGTGAACCGCCCTGAGTCCTATGGGAGAAGGGCGGTATACAAATTAAAATAATAAATAAATAAATAAATAAATAAATAAATAAATTTGGAAGACGATACTTTGATAGTGATAGAAATAACATTGGAAAGAAAGTGACAAAATAGGCATCTCTAAATGGTATGCAGGATGGCAGTCGATCTGTCTATCATTATGTAAACTCAATGAGGTCAGTAAAAGTTGAAGTTGCCCTGTATGTGCTCTTTTCCTGATATCACCTTCCTCCCAGAGCACTTTTCTCAGTGACTCTCTTTTGAGTAGAGAAGTGAATTATACCCTACAGAAAAATAAGCTGTTAGGGAGAGGATTCAGCATTGCCCCCCCCTTTTTTCCCCTACAGTGATACCTCCACTCCATTTTATATGTGTGTTTAGGTCAAACTTGGGATTAAAGCAGTTGGGCCTGCCATTTATTAGAATAATGCTGAGGTTCAGTTCATGAATAGGGTGAGAAATAGAGGAGTAAGGAAACTTATGGATTACATTTTCAAGATGACTGCTTTTTAGAATATAAAAGTGTGTAGACATTAATTAAAAGTAATTGGTAGGCTTTTGCATTTGAAATACTGGTTTCAAAATTTAATTGTATTCTATAATAAACAATTACACTGAATTAGTCAATTTGGAGGTCCTGTAATAGAAATGGAAACCACTGCAGGCAATAGTGCTTTTGTGGCTTTTTCCAGGAATGACTCCACAGTTTATGAGTGTGGTACCTAATCTCAGCATCTATTTTCCTGGTGGCCATTGATTCTGAGAAAAGATGCAGCTGCTTTGATGAGTTGGAGATGGATGCTATGTGAATGTCCCTGCTCCCACTGTAGCACCATATTTTCTTTTGAATCCAAAGCACTGCATAGCCGCACTAATTATACCTATCACTTTAGTTCAGTTGCATTTAGCATAACATTTAATTATTGCCTACTGTTCCTTAGTCATTGTATTTATATGTTGGCTTAGGAAACAGGTATATAAAACTTGGCAATACAATGTGATATAATTGACAGAATAGTATTTTCTATAATGAACTTGAATTTAATGAGCTCATGAAAAAATACGGATTGTTTATTCCTGGTTTCCACATTGCAGTTTCCAAATTTACCTAATGAGAAATAAGTTCAGAGAATAGCCCTCCAGTGGTGGTGGTTCAGAACTGCAAGATAATTTTAAATTACACTTTTTATTTATTTGTAATCATTCCTGCTTATTCAAATTATTTACTGCCTGGCATTTCAAACGAGGGACAGCCAGAGGTCTCACCTCCCCCCGTCCCACCCAAAAAAATGATATGGATCATTATA